TCCTGCTCCAAAGACTCCAACAAAGCTCCTCAGTATCAGGTAATGAGAACAGAATGAGAACTTTCAAGGCTGTGTTCTTCCCTTCTCTTCTTGGTTCTTATTGTGATGGAATTGAGAGGCTAGGGCAGGCATGGAGAGATTTTTAGTTCAGAAAAGTCCCAGACATTGTAAAACTGGGATAACTTCTTTTGTAAGACAGGCAAATAGCCCAGATAAGTGGCGACTGGGAGTAGTGGCTTACAGATTCTTTAATTTGTCACTGTTTTCTGAAATTTTCAACAAGAGTCTTAACATTTCTATTATTTCGTTTTCTTTCATATAAAATTATTTTGAAAGCAATGCTTATTTTTAGGTTGAATTTAAATGAACTACTTACATTAATTTTAAAGAGGGTAAATGGCTCAATACACAGAATTATGGTTATCAATAATAATACTTATAATAATAAACCACTTCATCATTTGTCCACCAAATGTTATTTCATTAAGCTCCTACCTTAATAAGTGATTTTTATTTAGAAAATAACCTCATTAATAGGACAATGTATGAACACCTGTCCTGGGAATAAATGGCTCACTTTTCTGTTCCAGTAATACGCTACATTTGGTGGCTCCAGCTAAAACTGAAGAGATTCCACCTCTGATTGAGAACCGAGAAACCTGGACTTCTTGCAAACCTTTCATTACTGGTCTAAATTTCTGTACCAAATTATTGTACTCTAATGCCAGTGCCACAGAGGCAGCTCCATATTATCCCTTGACTGGAGAATCCAGGTAAGTCATATCAGCTTTATGTTTATTTTGTGTTAACTAACCTTCCCTCTTAGGGCTTAGTATCTACAGTACCCTCTCACATAAAGCTTACCTTTAAAAATCTTTAAAAACAGACTAGCAGGAGCAGCTCAGAAAGAGAGCTATTGAGAACTGTATGATTTGTTCTGTTTGTAGTCATGGACAAAATAGTTATTTACAAGACATTTGTTTACTCCTTCTTTAGATTTGAAATTGAAATAGTGTCCACAGGCGAAGTGAAGGAATACTCTGCAAGTGCAAACTATGACCTGCAGAGAGAGGGAAATGACCTAATGGACACCTTGAAGTTTGCTATCCAGACAGAAGGTAAGAGTCTGAAAAAACAGTATGGTTTAGCTCAGTTTTGAACTGTGTCATTTAATGGGAAAAAGATTTGCATGAATAAATCATAATAGAATTCTTTATAGTATAAAATAGAATACCATTTTCACACCCAAACAAACCAACACTTTAACTCCATTTCATTTCTTGTATGCGATCCCAGTACAAGATTTTCATGGTCAGAGGCTGATTTTGTATCCCAAAAATGCTTCCCCATGATTTAAATAAAAGTGTGATGTTGGTGAATGGAAGCAAGGAAGAGAAGTTAATGTATTCTATATAAGCAAGAGAAAAATACCATTTCTGATGAAATATGGAAGTAAAGCATAGAAATTGAGAAGAACTGCATATATAGCAAATTTTTCAAAGGGAGAGTCTGTGGGATGGCAAGTTTATGTAACAAAAGTAGTGATGGGATTAGTGGATCGGCCCATGGTGTGTTTAGAAGATGAGGAGAAAAAAGATGACCTAGTTTCTGATTCAGACTCATCCAAGGTTGTGTTAGATCTTCACAGTGATATAATTTCCAGATGATGCTTTTTTCTTCTCCTTTTAAGAAAAGTCCAAACAGATTCCATAGTACCAAAGTACCTTATATTTTCCAGGTGTAAAGCAGCATGAGGCCACATTGACCTTCAGGTACAACAGAGACAGAAGGATTTTGACCAGTGATATCCACATTCCAGATATTGATGTTGAATTTGGTACAAACTTCAGAATTACTGATGAGTCCATTCCTGGAAAGAAAGCATATACATTTGCCTTACACTTTAACAACAAGAAGATTTCTGAAGTTACTCTTACTGGCCAGATAAGGTAACTCAGAAAACCACTTAGACTTTTACAGATACTTTTGAGTAAGATAGCTGAAGGTTTTATTGATGGTAGAAAATTTTGAAAAATTTTATCCCATTTTGGAGAAATTGCTTATTATTTTATTTGTAATCCATCATGTATTTATCAAATAAATACATCTAATACAGCAACTGATCTTTCATACTATACATATGTATATATCAAGTTTCTTGAGCTAGTTCTTAGTTCTTCCATGTTTGCACATACATGACTACAAGGATGACATTGTACTAGTGTTATTGCAGGTGTGATAATCCAAGGATATAAACAAGGCAAGGTTTGTTCAGAGAGGTATTACCTTTTCCTGGATATATTTGGCTCTAAAAAAAAGTTATTACATCTCCCCATGAAGAAGTCTAATGGCACTCAATAAACATCAAACCCCAAAATAACTGAGAGCTTCCTGTAAAAATTCCCACGCTTCATGATGAGAATATTTCCGGGAACATCTACAGGGGAGCTAACAAAAATGTTCAGCCTGCCAGGGTTTCTAAAATTGTCTGCCTCACAAGACCATACTGAAATGAGCTGATCACATTCTTTAATAAACCTCAGTCTTCCATGGAATTCTGTGATCTTGATGGTGCCCCGGGGAGTCTTTGTCTTTGCTGTTCATGCAGAATTGCTTCTGATATCAGTGGGAGCTTTGAACAGATGTCAGGGACCTCAATTCCCTTTCATTTGCACTAACATAATATTGGAAGTTTGCTCAAGTCAACAAAGTTACAGAGATATAAAATAAATATGAATAAAGGAAAATGAAGCCCAGTGGCATAATATATTTTGTCAAGTGTTTTGTTTCTGTGTGATTCATGGCCACAGTCTGTATCCTTTGTAGAGAATTCAGCTTGAGTAAGGAGTTCAGAATTTGGTTCAGGTACAACTTTACCAAGACAGGTACATATATCCATCAATTTCAGTATTGTGAAATTAATATGGAATTATTATTGTGCGTATCTGCACAGTAGCATTATAATAATTTACCACATATTTTGCAAAGTAACTAGCAGAAGTTGAAAACATTCACTGAATTGGAACAAGATTTACAAGTTTGATTCAATCTATTTTTTTATAACACCTGTTATGCCTTTACTATAGATTTAAATGCTGAAATTGCTCCTGAAACATAAGTGAAAAAGTGGAGTGAAATGTTTTATATTCACATTTACTTTTTGCTTTCACAGATATGCTGGAATGGAAGAGGCAATGTTAAGAGGCACCATTTCTGTTCCTCGCCTGCAAACTGAACTTGGAACTGAAGCGTTGGTTAATTACTCACCAACCACAGGTTATCTTCAGATGAGCTCAGCTGCAACAATTCATGGAAACTCAATTTCAGAAAGAGTTCTTCTCAGATATGGTATGGGCAAAAATATGATCCACGTGTGCAACTTACAAATTTAAGCATCTTGTTTCATTAGTTTATAGTATATCCCTAAATAGAATATTACTAATTTTACCCTTTTCTTTTAAATTCATGATTTTCAGATTCTGAGAACGTTGAGCTAGAGTGGAATTCAGGTGCCAGTGCTGCTGTGAAAAAAATATCTTCTGGCTTCCCAGTTGACTTTTCAGACTACCCAAAAACTTTACAGAAACATGCCAATGAACTGCTGGATCAGAAAGTGGCTCATACAGATATGACACTGCGACATATTGTGTCACAATTTATCGTGGTATGTTTCAACCTACAGTAGATATTACAGCTTGACCACATAACCCTGGTGAATTATTTCCTGCTCCATGGAAACCAAAACAGGAACTACTTGTAAAAGTATTCATCAGATTTAATAAGACGTTTATTTCCATCTTTGATTAAACCAGTCATTTTATCAGATGCTTGGGGCTCAGTATATGGATAGTTACAATGCCTTTCAGATTACTTACTGGGAAGTCTTAAACCTTGTTATTTACTTTGAAAAACTTGTTTTCGCATTGCAGGCAACCAACACCTGGCTGCAAAAGGCATCAAAAGATGTCCCCTATGCCCAGGCTCTGCAAGACAAGCTAAGTGGACTACAGGAACTGAACATTCAGAAAATTAATCTGCCTGTTATCACAATTCCTGAAGAACTTTTCCTGAAAAGGTAGAGAGAGAAATTAGGATAGTCACACAGGAGACTGAAAATAGATATTTTTTCATATTTTTTGCTATTTTATAAAACAGCATGGAATTACGGTAAACATTGGCATAAAATTGGAATCATAGCAAACAATTTTAAGACCAGAGATGAAATTATATGAAGGAAATTATGCATGCCATTAATACAGATTTGACTTCACAACAGTCACTCCTGCAGTATATGACGATATCCTGAAGTATTGTGTTATATAGTAATGGGAACTGAACAAAATATAGCATTCAACAATCTTTAGTCTAAGCCACCTGACCTAATGAAGCCAGGTTTCCCATAGATTTGTGTCTTATATCCCTACAGACCCTTTGTCTTTGGCCATAACCCTAACATCTCTACTTTTTCTTCTGCAGTCCTATTGGACAGTTCTTCCCATTCCCCTACACATACTGGTTGACCTCCACCAATATAGTACCCTGACCTCTTCCCATGTCTAATTCCATCCGTCCCTTGCTCAGAGGCAACACGTGCCATGGTTGTACACATATGGACTAGATACCTGCACTGATTTGAGCCCATCTCCTCCACCTAATAGACAGTTTCACAGAACTTGCATGAATGTGATTACCCCTGAGGCTTTTACCCTTCTGTCAAATTTGATAAAAATCATCCAATATGCAAAAAATTTCTAAGAAGTGGGGTTTGACAAACAAAAAGAGAGTCTGGAAGGCAAATAAATAGTATATTTCTTCTGTTTCTGGGAAATTAGACTGTAAGTCAGCCAGAGTGGATCTAGACTTTAAAATGCTCATGCACCTGCAAGGGTTTGCTCTCATTACAGTTCGTAGCACATATTGTTCTTGTCGTCTAGGGTTCATATCACATTGCTGCTCTGCCTCTGCGTAAGAATTCAAGGTGCAGTGTTGCTTGGTAGTATCTTCAGAATACACCCACAGCTACCACTGTGATAAATAGAAATGTGTCTGTATGGTTTTCCCATGAGCTAGGGAAATATTGATGTCTGAAATGAATATAAAAGACAACAGAAGCTAGTGTAAGATTGAATTACAAAAACAGATGGAGAACAGTCTTGCATTTTATCTCTCTTAGCACTGTTTTTCTATATCCTGTCTTTCACTGCAGTAATATGAAACTGTATGTTAATGACACACATCTCTGTTGCTTCCATTGTGTTCTAAGTACAAACAAGAAAAAACTGATTTTTATTCTATGTTCTTATCAACAGTGCACATTATACTACTAATAATAGGAATATCTACTGCTCTGTGATGTTGCTTTTTTAACCATTTGATGTAAAGGAACAGATTTCAAAAATGTTGCCTTAATTTTCATCTTAGGATATGGCTCTAAGTGTAAAAAAGAAGATTTTGTGTAATGAAAGACCACTTAGGCAAGCAAGAAAAGCATCTTTGCCAGCTTATTGTTCATGCACAAATTAAGGCCGAGTTTCCTTCTGT